ATGACCTGCACACGACCTGACCTTGCATACCCTCTGAGCATCCTTGCACGCTATGTTGCTCCTGGGAGACACCGACCAGAGCACATGGCTGCAGCGAAGAGGGTATTGCGCTACCTGTGCAGTACGTCGGGCATGGGGCTAGTGCTTGGAGGGCGGAGTCCAGTGGTCCTTACTGGGCACGCAGACGCTTCTTGGGCTGACGACCAGGCTACGCAGCGGTCGTCACAGGGTTACACCTTCAGCCTTGGTTCCGGCTCTGTCTCGTGGCGGTCTACTCGCTCGTCTTCGGTTCTCGGCTCCAGTTGTGAGGCTGAGATCTACGCCGGGGCCATGGCTGCACAGGAGCTTCGCTGGCTCACCTACCTGCTGACTGACCTTGGAGAGCTGCCTTGATCTCCTCCAGTGTTGTACGTAGACAACAAGGCCATGTTGGCCTTGTGTCGAGAGCAGCGCTTGGAGCACAGAACGAAGCACATTGCTCTCCGCTACTTCCTTGCTCGTGAGCTGCAGCAGCGTGGTCAGTTGCGACTTGCTTACGTGGCCTCTGAGGCCAACACTGCTGATGTGTTCACCAAGGCACTTGCGCCTTGCGACCATCAGCGCTTTTGTACCCAGCTGGGTCTTGTACCTGTCTTGCCTCACTTGCTCTCTTCTTGACTTTACTTGTACTTTGACATATATATACCTGCTCTTGCTTGTCTAGTTTTATATATATGTCTGTACTCCTGCATGTGAACTGGCCTCTGGCCTTGCTCTTGTGCTCGGACTGTGTGGTGACTTTGTGATCCACCCTGAGCTTGCTTTGCTTTGCTTTGCTTGACTGGTCTTGTGACCCCTTGTTCTCCCCCACTTTGCCTATGGGGGTGTGTCAGATTATTATAGCTGATGCATGTTTGTAGGCTATAGTGGGGTAGCACATATGGGGTACAGTTTGCTAGGGTTGTATTTGTACCCAACTCTGACTTAGTCAATTCATTCCTGTTCATTCCTTTCACAAGGGAGGCGCGCGACTACGTAGTAGAGAGCGATGTACATGGGGGGGGGGGTTCTTAGCGCAGAACTCAGCAGGAAGGGCGGCGCGGTAGCGAGTGTCACTAGTGCGGAGGTGCGTAATAAGGTCAGCGACAGTGGGAAAGGCAGAGAGGTCAGGAAAGAGGTAGGGAAGCATGAGACGGCTCAGTGCAGCAGTGGCAGGGGAGGAGTAGCGCGCAACTACAGCGTCGTACAAGGTCTGAGCACTCTTGTACTGACTCAAGTGCGCACGCTCAGAGGTAGGGAGGTGGCGACGCACAGCAAGACGTGCAGCAGCATCGCGGGTGGCCCACTTAGAGCGGGCAGCGGGATCAGCATCAGCAGCAGGAGCAGGAGAGGCGCCAGAGGTGAGATCAAAGAGAGAAAGGTCGTCAGCCCTGTCGCACTGTAAGAACAGCTGCAGGTCGTCTAACCAGACCTCAAAATCAATGGCGCGACCCTCAGCGTCAAAAGCTAGGACACTAGGGGTAGCCATGGCGACGACAGCGACGCAGTGCAAGCAGCGAGCAAAGAGCTCGCAGTGTCAGTGGGACTGTGCTCACCAGGCAGGGCAGGTCGTGTAGGTATGCAGAAAGGCGGCTCGAGTGCTGGGCGGCTCGGCTGCTGGGCGGCTCGGGCGCAGGGCGGCTCGGCTCCCGGGCTGCTCGGCGGCTGGGCGGCTCGGGTGCAGGGCGGCTCGGCTCCCGGGCGGCTTGGCGGCAGGGCGGCTCGGGTCCCGGGCGGCTCGGCGTCGGGCGGCTCGGCTCACGGGCGGTTCGGCTACTGAGGCGGCTCGGCCAGGAGATGCAGGGGCGGGGCCGTCAGGTGCAGCGGCGGGTTGACCGGTGCAGTGGCGGGCCGGCAGGTGCAGCGGCGGGCCGGCAAGTGCAGCGGCGGGCCAGCAGGTGCAGGCGGCGGGCCGTAGGGTGCAGTGGCGGGCCGTAGGTGCAGCAGCGAGGCCGGCAGGTGCAGCGGCGAGGCCGTCAGAGGCGGCAGGCCGCTGAGTGCAGCGGCGGGCCGGCAGGTGCAGTGGCGGGCCGGCAGGTGCAGCGGCGGGCCGTAGGGTGCAGTGGCGGGCCGGCAGGTGCAGCGGCGGGCCGGCAGGTGCAGTGGCGGGCCGGCAGGAGAGGCGGCGGAGCCGCGTCAGGGGAGGCGGCAGGGCCGCGTCAGGGGAGGCGGCGGAGCCGCGTCAGGGGAGGCGGCGGTGCCGCGTCAGGGGAGGCGGGGGAGCCGCGTCAGGGGAGGCGGCAGGGCCGCGTCAGGGGAGGCGGCGGGGCCGCGTCAGACAGGCTGCGGGGCCGCGTCAGGAGAGGCGGCGGAGCCGCGTCAGGGGAGGCGGCGGGGCCGCGTCAGGGGAGGCGGCTGAGCCGCGTCAGGGTAGGCGGCGGGGCCGCGTCAAACAGGCGGCGGGGCCGCGATCAGGAGAGGTGGCGGGGCCGCGTCTGAGGGACAGCGGGGCCGCGAGGGAAAAGGCGACCCGAGGGGGGTCGCTAAAAAAAAGGGCGCGCCTCGGGGCGCGCTTCGGTGGGCCCTAAAAAACGGTCCTAAGGTAGGACCCGCTCTATACCATGTGAAGTAAAGAAAACAGGAATGAAATGACTAAGGAAAGATTGGGTACAAATACAACCCTAGAAACCCTGTACCCCATATGTGCTACCCCACTATAGCCTACAGCAACTATGTCATATAAATCTGACAGGTGACGCTGTCAGAATTATATATAAATGCATTCAATTCTAGCTGTGGTGTAGTCATATATTTGTTCTTGATTGGTGGTGCACCCTTCCTGAACTTTAACTTGTACTTGTTTCTCATATTGCATCACTTTTTCTCTTGGCACAAATCTCTCGACTCCCTCTTGGCCTAGGCTACTAAGCCTAGGCCCTAAATCTTAACTACCACACTTGTGCTCCCATTCCTCGTTCATTTCACATGGCATTAGAGCGAGTTAAATCCTGGCCTGTGGGCCCGCCTCACGCTTCCGCTGCTATTTTTCCGGTCGCGCGCCTCGGGCGCGTGGCGATTTTCGTCCTGTCCCGCCCCCTGGTGGCGAGTGGCATCTTCTCTGCCCGTCGTGCGCCCCGTGGCACGCGACGGTGCCCTGCCCGTTGTGCGCCCCGTGGCACACGACGGTGCCCTAAACCTGCCCGTCGTGCGCCGCGTGGCACGCGACGGTGCCCTGCCCGTCGTGCGCCCCGTGGCACACGACGGTGCCCTAAACCTGCCCGTCGTGCGCCGCGTGGCACGCGACGGTGCCCTGCCCGTCGTGCGCCCTGTGGCATGCGACGGTGCCCTAAACTGCCCGTCGCGTGCCCCGTGGTGCGCGACGGTGCCCTCAGCCGCCGCGGAACCGCCTATGGCGCCTGCGACTGTGTCCTGAGCCGCCGAGTACCCGCCTCAGGCGCACTCGGCGGTGCCCCTGCCTCACCCGCGCCTGCACTCGCTGCAGCCGCCTCTGCACCACCCAGCGCCTGCCCTTGGAGCAGCCGCCCCCGCTCCTGCACTCGGTGCAGCCACCTCTGCCTCACCCCGTGCCTGCACTCACTGCAGCCGCCCCTGACCTACCCGCGCCGACCCTCTGTAGCCGCTCTGCGGCTTTCTCCCCGCCCACCCCTTCCTCCTTTGTCTCCCAGCAGCCGTGGGGGGGAGGGTATGGGGGTGGCGGGTGTTGGGGTGATGGTTGGAGTGCTTCCCTTCCCCTCCTCCTCCTTTCGTTCCCACTGCTGCAGCTGCCGCTGGGGGGGAGGGTGTGAGGGTGTGGGGGAGCCGGGGGAGAGGCACTGGGGTGGCGGGTGTGAGACCAACCAGCAGCCGTCCCTCCACCTCTCCTCTCTTCCCCCCCTCTGCTGCTCCTGCAGCATTGTGGGGGGGAGGGAGAGGGGGAGGGTGAGGGGATGGAGGTGTTGCCTACTGTTGCTGTTTTCTATGTCTGTGGTGTACTCCTGCAGGTTGTGTCTTTCACTTCGCTATTCCTGCATGCAGTTACAGGGGGATGTCAGAATTATATATAACTGCATTCAGTTCTAGCTGTAGTGTAGTCATATATTTGTTCTTGATTGGTGGTGCACCCTTCTTGAACTATAACTTGTACTTGTTTCTCATATTGCATCACTTTTTCTCTTGGCACAAATCTCTCGACTCCCTCTTGGCCTATGCTACTAAGCCTAGGCCCTAAATCTTAACTACCACACTTGTGCTCCCATTCCTAGTTCATTTCACAGTTCATTTCACAGACGCGACGGATGCTACGCATGTCACGCACGAAATGGTGGCGTGTAACCAGATTTCACAGTTACGGGAACCCATAGTAAGTCTATCATTTTTACAAGTTGGCAACCTGGTTATTTACAAAATGCGTATATTGTAAATTTTAGTTTGCTACGAGGGTAATTTTAGTTTTGCGTTATTTCAACCCTTGCGGTCATTTTTTTTTTCCAAAAGCATGCGATTCGTCAATGTCAGCTCAAAGATGCGACCCGGGCTATTTCGACGTGACATTGGTCAATGTTTTCCCTCGATGCGACCCGGGCCATTTGCTGCATGTTCTTGCCTTCTGATTGGCCAATGTTCTACGGGATGACGGCTCGATATTTTCGGGAGCGCGGTCCGAGGTCAGGTTGGGGTCATTTTTGGGTCAGCCGCGTTTTTCCTACTCAAATTTATGACCTGAAGGCGACCTGCGGGTCTCGGCAGACTGCACTTGACCTGTAAGTCACCTTCGGGTGAGGTTCAGATAACCTAGTAGTGACTTCGGGGTTAGCAATTTCGGGAGGTCAGGCTAGGGTGTGCCACTTTTTGGAGATGGCCACATCGCCCCGTCACTCTTTCCTCTCACCTGCCATCACGCACTTTACCTTCCTCACTACCTCGCCCACTACGCGACTTGCTCCCTTTCTCTGTTCCACCCTCCCCTCCTCCTTTCATCCCGTTCGCCGCGCCGCCCTTCCTAACGAGTGCGCAACTTCGGGAGGCTCTCACTTCTCCCTCCTATGTCGTCGCTCTCACTTCTCCCTCCTATGCCGTCGCTTTCACTTCTCCCTCCTATGCCGTCGCTCTCACTTCTCTCTCCTATGCCGTCGCTCTCACTTCTTCCTCCTATGCCGTCGCTCTCACTTCTCCCTCCTATGCCGTCGCTCTCACTTCTCCCTCCTATGCCGTCGCTCTCACTTCTCCCTCCTATGCCGTCGCTCTCACTTCTTCCTCCTATGCCATCGCTCTCACTTCTCCCTCCTTTGCCGTCGCTCTCACTTCTCCCTCCTATGTCGTCACTCTCACGTCTCCCTCCTATGCCGTCGCTCTCACTTCTCCCTCCTATGCCGTCGCTCTCACTTCTCCCTCCTATGTCGTCGCTCTCACTTCTCCCTCCTATGCCGTCGTGTCAGAATGTTATTCTCTAGCCTGTAGTGGGGTGCTCTATAGCGAGTACAACCCATCTAGGGTTTGCTATTTGTATCCTCATTCTTGCTAGTGAACTTCCTCTTTGCCTAAACTCTCTCGTGCCTAGCTAGGGCTTTCCTGGCTATGGCTCCTGATTCTACCTATTATCTTCACATGGTTTCAGAGCGGTTACACTCTTGGCCTGTGGGTACTACTGCTTCCGCTGCTACTCGCTCTGTCCCACGCCCCGTGGCGTGCACGCCAGAGTGCAAATCGCCGCATTTGCACTCTGGCGCGCGCCCCGGGGCGCGCGGCCCCTTTCTTTTCTGGCGCGCCGCCCCCGCTGCCCCGTCGCGCCGCCCGGGGGAGCCGCGCGCGGCCCCCGCTCGTCCGTTGCGACGCCCGGGGGAGTCGCGCGCGGCCCCGTCGCCGCCCGCAGCGGCCCCGTCGGTGCCGTAGCGGCCTCGTCGCCGCCCACAGCGGCCCCGTCGCCGCCCGCAGCGACCCCTTCCCCGCCCGCCGCGGCCCCGTCGCCGCCGCAGCGGCCCCGTCGCCGCCGCAGCGGCCCCGTCGCCGCCCGCAGCGGCCCCGTCGCCGCCCGCAGCGGCCCCGTCGCCGCCCGCAGCAACCCCTTCCCTGCCCGCCGCGGGCAGCGGCCTCGTCGCCGCTGCGGCCCCGTTGCCGCCCTCCCGCTGCCCCTTCGTGGCGCCCGGGGGAGCGGCGCGCGGCCCCTCGCTGCCCCGTGGTGGCGCCCTGGGGGCCGCGCACCGTTCTTCCCGTCGTCCCCCGCGTTCCTCCCCGTCACACCCGTTCTAGGGTTTGGGGGTGAGGAGTGTGGGGGTGGTAGTTGTGAGGGTGTCCGTTGTGCGTGCTGTACCCTTCTTCTCCTCCTCCTTCGTCTCCCACTGCTGCAGCTGTCGCTGAGGGGGGTGGATGAGTGGGAGACTGGGGTTTAGGGTTTAAAGGGGGTGCGAGGGAGTGGAGCTAGGGTTTGAGCAGTGGGCGTGTGTTGAGAGTGTGGGGCAGTTGGGGGAGGTTGAGTGGAGGCAGCAGTCTTGTCGTCAGCAACAGCAGCAGTCCGGAGGCTACAATCTCCGGTAGTTGCCAGTCGCCCGTGGGTCCGTTGCTCGTCTGCCGCTACTTTTAGCCGCGGGGCCAGTTACTCAAGTAGTCCGGAGCGCTGTTCCGGTAGCCACTGAGCCAGCAGCTCTTCTGTGTGTCTGCAGTGTCAGCAGTCGCCTCCCATCTTCTCTCCCCCACAGCTCCTCCTCCTCCTCACTTGTCCGCTGTGATTAGCACTAGCTTTTCTTATCTGTGTAAACTCCTGCTCTATACCTGCTTTCTCACTGTGCTGATTACACCCCACTTTGGCTATGGGGGTGTGTCAGAATGTTATTCTCTAGCCTGTAGTGGGGTGCTCTATAGCGAGTACAACCCATCTAGGGTTTGCTATTTGTATCCTCATTCTTGCTAGTGAACTTCCTCTTTGCCTAAACTCTCTCGTGCCTAGCTAGGGCTTTCTGTCAAACATTATATGTTTGTGTGGTTCTAGGCTGTAGTGGGTCACACCATAGGGGGTACACCAGTTTAGGGTTTCATATTTGTACTGTTGTTCCTGCTAGTCACACCCATTTCCTGTTTCTCATTCTGACATGGTATTACGAGCCTAGGTTCCACCTAGGACCGGAACGTTAGGGCCCACCGTTTCCGCTAGCCGCGCCCTCGTGCGCGGCCTTTTCCTAGCGCCCTCGTGCGCCTCGTTCCTAGCGTCGCCCCTTCAGGCCCCTCACGGCCCCTCGCGTCGCCCCTTACGGCCTCTCACGGCTCCGTCTTAAGACCCCGTGCTAGCCCCTTAAGGCCCCGCGTCGGCCCCGCGCTAGCCTCTCCGACCCCCTACGGCCCCGCGCTAGCCCCGAACGGCCCACCTACGGCCCCGCGCTAGCCTCCTACGGCCCCGATTGGCCCCGCGCTAGCCTTGAACGGCCCCGTGTGGCCCCGCGCTAGCCTCGAACGGCCCCGTGTGGCCCCCGCGCTAACCTCCCACGGCCCCGTAAGACCCCGCGCTAGCCTCCCACGGCCCCTTCAGGCCCCGCGCTAGCCTCCCACGGCCCCGTCAGGCCCCGCGCTAGCCTCCCACGGCCCCTTCAGGCCCTGCGCTAGCCTCCCACGGCCCCTTAAGGCCCCGCGCTAGCCTCCTACGGCCCCGAATGGCCTCGCGCTAGCCCCGACCGGCCCCCGAACGGCCCCCCCCCCGCGCTTGCCTCTCACGGCCCCTCCCGCGCTCGCCCCTCTACGGCTGAGCCGCGCTGCGCGACCCGACCCGAACCGCGCCGCCCTAGCCGAGCCGCGCCGCCCTAGCCGAGCCGCGCCGCCCTAGCCGAGCCGCGCCGTCCTAGCCGAGCCGCGCCCTCCTTACCTGAGCAGCAGCACCAGTACTGAACTGCTACTACTACTGCTACTGCTACTGCTACTGCTACTGCTGCTGCTACTGCTGCTGCTGCTGCTACTGCTACTGCTACTTCTGCTACTACTACTTCACCTATGGCTAGCCCTCCAGTTATCTCGTTCGATACTGAGGGCCGCCCGATTAAGTTTGAGACCTGGCTCGATGATCTGCATCTGTTCCTCTAGCTCACTGCCAGAGAGGATATCTCGCTGTACGATCACGCACTAGGCACAGTCCCTACTCCTGCTACTACTGCTGTTGCTACTGCTCGCTCACAGTGGCAGACTCGCGATGCCCACGCCCGCTTTGCTATTCGCAACTCCCTGCCAGTAGACGAGCGCGAGCACTTTGGCCAGCATCAGACTGCGCACGCCCTGTACACTGCTGTAGTTGCGCGCTACTCCTCCCCGGCCTCAGCTGCACTAGGCCGCCTCTCGCTTCCCTACCTGTTCCCCGACCTGTCCGCCTTCCAGACAGTCGCTGACCTCATCACTCACCTCCGCACTAGTGATGCCCGCTTCCGTGCAGCCATGCCCGCTGAGTTTCTTGCCTCCAACCCTCCCCCGCTCTGGCTCACTCTCTACCACCTAGTCACCCGCCTCCCTGACACTCTGCGTACAGTCAGGGACCACTTCCTAGCTCGCTGCCCTACTGAGCTCACCATTACCGCCCTAGAGAAGGAACTACTTGTAGCTGAGAAGAGTATTGTAGCTGTAGGTGCCTCTCGTGGCGACCCCCGCACCCCTTTCTTCGAGGGGTGTTCCCCCTCCCCCCTGCTCCCCTCTGTCGCCTCAGCTGCTGCTGTCGACCTCCTTGGTGCTGAGCAGGTCGGCTCTGCGTCCGCTCCCAGCGGGCGCCGCAGCGGCAAGGGCAGGGGAGGCAAGGGCGGTGGGGGTGACGGCGGGGGAGGCGGTGGTGGGGGTGGTGGCGGCGGTGGGGGTGGTGGCGGGGCTGGAGGGGCTAGTGGCAGCGGTGGGGGTGGTGGAGGCAGCGGCGGCGGAGGTGGCCGGGGTGGGGGCGGTGGTGGTGGCGGCAGTGGACGTGGAGGCGACAGGGGCGGTGGTGGTCGTGGTGGAGGCGGCAGTGGTGGTCGTGGAGGCTTTGGCACTGGCCAGAGCGCGCAGCACCCTCAGTCCTCCCAGGAGCTTCGTGAGTGGTACTTACAGCACGGGGGTGGGGGGGGTAGCCTTAGCTGCACGTACGTCATCCGCACTGGTCGCCGCAAGGGACAGACGTGCGGGAGGGCGCACACTGCGCAGCGCTGCTTCTCTCGCCTAGATGACGCGTGGCGTGCTCAGTTTCCTGACGCTCCTGAGCTCCCTCAGTGGGCTGATCTCCTCAAGAAGGATATCGATATCTATGCTCTTGATTTTGATGTTATTCTCAAAGCCATGTATGCATTGACTATTAGTGGAGAGGAGGACCAGTACCTGTGTGTTCCGCCTGACCCAGGCATCCGCACGAGTGAGGCTGCAGCCCTAGGTGCTTGCGTGTCTGCTGCCCCAGGTGCTAGTGAGGCTACTGCTCTAGGTGCTTGTGTGTCCGCCACCCCAGGTACTACTGAGTCCACTGAGGCACTGCACACCTTCACTCTAGACTCAGGCGCTTTGCGCTGTTTCTTTCGTGACCGCACTGCTCTTGAGCCCCTTGCTCGACCAGTCGCTGTCTCGCTCGCTGACCCCTCTGGGGGTCCGGTCATTGCGACCTCCTCCACTGTCCTTCCTTGTCCTGCTGTCCCGTCGGGCACACTGTCAGGTCTCCACCTCCCCTCGTTCTCTACGAACTTGGTGGCGGGTTGTGCGCTTCAGGATGGGGGTGTTCACCAGTTCACCCCTGCCTACGAGCGTGTGACACACTGCACGTGTGCTCGGACGGGCCGTCACCTGGCTACCTTCACTCGGCAGCCGCGGTCGGACCTGTACACACTGACCACTGAGTCCCATCAGGTAGCGGCGTCGGCGTCTGCGTCTGCGTCAGGTCAGCTGTCTGCCCCCTGCTCGTGTCGCTCTCTAGCGCACAAGACTGTCCTCTGTCACCACCGACTTGGTCACCCGTCAGTGCAGCGCCTTCGAGGCATGCACTCCCGGTACCTTGTCTCTGGTCTTCCTCGGGTACTCCCTCCCCTCCCACCCTCCCTTGCTCCTCCTTGTCTTCCCTGTGTCGAGGGGCGGCAGCGCGCTGCCCCTCACTCCTCCTCGTTCCCCCCGACGACTGCTCCTTTGCAGACGCTCCACATGGACGTGTGGGGCCCAGCCCGCGTCCGTGGTCAGGGCCAGGAGAGGTACTTCTTGATCGTCGTTGACGACTACTCGCGCTACACCACGGTCTTCCCCTTGCGCGCCAAGGGTGAAGTCCCTGATGTTATGATCCCTTGGAACAGCAGAGCACGTCTTCAGGTGCGAGAGCGTTTTCGCTCGGAGTTTCCTGTCCTGCGCTTGCACTCTGACAGAGGTGGCGAGTTCTCCTCCGACCTCTTGGCAGCCTACTGTGCAGAGCACGGCATTCGCCAATCGTTCACGCTTCCGGCCTCTCCACAGCAGAATAAGGTTGCTGAGCGCCGCATTGGCTTGGTCATGGAGGTCGCTCGTACCTCCTTAGTCCACGCGGCTGCCTCCCACTTTCTGTGGCCGTTTGCGGTCCGGTACGCTGCGCATCAGCTCAACCTCTGGCCCCGTGTCTCCGCTCCGGAGACCTCGCCCACACTGCTGTGGACGGGGGAGGTTGGCGATGCGTCACGCTTCCCTGTCTGGGGATCCCGAGCTTTTGTTCGCGACACGTTTGCGGACAAGCTCTCCTCCCGCACTGCTCCTTGTGTCTTTCTTGGCTTTGTCCCGGATGCGTCTGGCTGGTAGTTTTACCACCCCGCCTCGCACCGCGTGTTCCCCTCTCAGGACGTCACTTTTGACGAGTCCGTGCCCTTCTACCGCCTCTTCCCCTACCGCACTGCCCCGCTCCCTCCCCCGCCTCTCTTCCTCGCGCCAGGTGCTGCAGTGGTAGACCCCCTTCCCCCTCAGGTGTCTCTCAGGTAGACCCGGTTGAGCCTGCCGAGGTAGCTGTCGACTCGCGTCCTGCTAGAGGTGCTGAGCCTGAGCGTGCGGAGCCTGCGCGGGCGGAGCCTAGGGGTGCTGAGTCTAGGGGTGCAGAGACTGGGGGTGCTGAGCCTGGGGGTGCTGAGACTGGGGGTGCTGAGCCTGGGGGTGCTGGGTCTGGGGGTGCTGCACCTGGAGTTGCTGAGTCTGGGGGTGCTGAGCCTGGTGTTGTTGCAGTTGACTGTGAGGCGCCTGGAGGACCTCCCTCTTCGCAGCAGCTGCGTGAGTGGTACTCACGGTACTGCAGCCTCCGGCGGGGTGCGTCTCGGGCTCGTGGTGCTACTGGAGTTGGTACTCGTGCTTCCCCACCACGTCGGGAGCCGCCCTCTTCCCCACAGCTTCGAGAGTGGTACTCTCGGCACATCAGTCTCCGGAGTGGAGCTGCTGGTGCTGGGGTCCCTGGAGTTGACGCTGCTGCGGGTGCTGCGGACCCTGGTGCTGGAGGTGCTGCTGCTACTGGCGGTGCTGCTGGAGGTGCTGCTCGTACAGAGGACCCGGGCGTTGGAGCTACTGCGAGTGCTGCGGACCCTGGTGCTGGAGGTGCTGCTGGTGCTACTGGAGGTGCTGCTAGTGCTGCTGGAGTGGAGGACCCGGCGAGTGGAGCTTCTGCTGGTCCTGATGACCCTGCCGTTGGTGTCTCTGCTTGTTCGGGAGTTGTTGCACGGCCACGGCCGTACTTCGTTCCGCTCCTTCAGCAGGTTCTTGGTCAGCCTCCTCCTCCTTGTTCTCCTCTCGCCTTAGAGTGTCCGCCGTCTGTCCAGTCACAGCCACAGTTACCGCCTGCCTCCCCACTCCCTGTGCCTGCTCCTTACACTGGTCCGACTGGAGGTCTTGCTGAGAGACGTGAGCCTGCGTCACGTCCTGTGTCACCTGCGTCTCGTCGAGCGTCGCCTGTTCGTGCTGCTACCACTGGTAGTCGTGTCCCGCGTCAGCGTCCTCCTGCTGTCCCAGGCACGCACCGGATGGCGCTTCGTCAGTCCACTGCTCCGCAGCGTGTCGCTCTCCCGTCGCCTCCTGCGTCCTCTCTTCCTGCTCTTGCTGACCCGGAGTCAGACACCCTTCGCGCTGCCAGTCCTACTGTCACACGTCTCCTGGCTACGGTTGTCACTGACCCTTCCTTTGAGTCCGCTGCTGCGTTTGCCTTAGTCACTGAGCTTGTCGACTTTGCAGCTGCGTGTCGTCTAGACTACGCTGCGAGTCTTGTTGCTGAGTCTGCGTCTGTCTGTCCTCCGTCCGTCGGGGGTGAGTGTGCTCTTGGCACGGACGTTCTTGAGGACAGGCAGGAGGAGTTTGGTTGCCTTGCCGCTGCTTTGCCCCATCTCGTGTCCATGCTTGTTGCCCATGAGGGAGACCCGGATGCACCAGACATCCCGACCCCACGCTCTTATGCAGAGGCGATGGCCGGTCCCTACTCCTCTCAGTGGCAGTCAGCCATGGACACAGAGATGGCTTCCTGGAAGTCCACTGGCACCTACGTCGACGAGGTTCCCCCACCTGGGGCGAACATCGTCAGTGGCATGTGGATTTTCAGGGTGAAGCGGCCGCCGGGCTCTCCGCCTGTCTTCAAGGCGCGTTACGTTGCACAAGGCTTCAGTCATCGAGAGGGAGTTGACTTCTTCCAGACCTTCTCCCCGACCCCGAAGATGACCACTCTTCGGCATCTGCTACACGTCGCCGCTCAGCGTGACTACGAGCTCCACTCTCTTGACTTCAGCACAGCTTTCTTGCAGGGCAGCCTGCACGAGGAGATCCGGCTGCGCCGCCCACCTGGCTTCACTGGGTCGTTCCCTCCTGATACCCAATGGAGCCTCCGGCGGCCAGTCTACGATCTCCTCCAGGCGCCACGTGAGTGGCACGACACACTGAGGACTACACTTGCGGCTCTTGGGTTCGCTCCTTCTAGTGCTGACCCGTCGCTGTTTCTACGCACCGACACCTCACTGGCGCCGTTCTACATCCTCGTGTACGTCGAGGACTTGGTCTTTGCCACTTCTGACACAGCTGGTCTCGCTCACGTGAAGTCCGAGCTGCAGAAGAGACACACGTGCACAGACCTGGGTGAACTGATAAGCTATCTTGGCTTGCGGATCACCCGGGACAGAGCACGGCGCACCATCACCTTGACTCAGTCACACATGGTGCAGCAGGTCCTTCAGTGCTTCGGCTTCACGTACTCCTCGCCTCAGTCCACTCCTCTGCCTACGGGACACTCGCTCTCAGCTCTGCCTTTGGATGAGTCGATAGAGCCGAGTGGTCAGTATCCAGAGCTTGTGGGCTGCCTCATGTACCTGATGACCTGCACTCGACCTGACCTTGCATACCCTCTCAGCATCTTAGCACGCTATGTCGCTCCCGGCCGTCACCGGAAGGAGCACATGGATGCAGGTAAGAGGGTGTTGCGCTACTTGTGCAGTACGTCGGGCTTGGGGCTAGTGCTTGGAGGGCGAGACCGGCCTGTTCTCACTGGGCACTCAGACGCTTCTTGGGCAGACGACCAGGCTACTCAGCGGTCGTCTCAGGGTTACACCTTCAGTCTTGGCTCTGGCTCTGTCTCTTGGCGTTCTACTCGTTCTTCTTCTGTTCTCAGCTCCACCTGTGAGGCTGAGATCTACGCCACGGCGATGGCTGCCCAGGAGCATCGCTGGCTCACCTACCTGCTGACTGACCTTGGAGAGCAGCCTCGTTCTCCTCCAGTGCTGTACGTCGACAACAAGGCAACCATAGCCTTGTGTCAGGAGCACAGACTGGAGCACAGGACGAAGCACATTGCTCTGCGTTACTTTCTAGCTCGAGAGCTACAGCAGCGTGGTCAGCTTCTTCTGCGTTACGTGGCCACTGAGGCCAACACTGCTGATGTGTTCACCAAGGCGCTTCCGCCTGTTGACCATCAGCGTTTTTGCACTCTTCTAGGCCTTGTACCGACTGTTCCTCACTTACTTACTTCTTGACTTTGCCTGTACTGTGATCATTATATATATACCTGCATGTTTGCCCTTGCTAGGTTGTGATCATTGTACCTCTTGCTCTATTATAAAACTGCATGTGAACTGGTCTTGTGACCGCTTACTTGTGCTCGGAATTTGTGTGGAATCCTCGAGATCCACCCTGAGCTTGTTTGCCTTGCTTTGCCTTGACTTGTCTTGTGACCCCTAGGTCTCCCCCACTTTGCCTATGGGGGTGTGTCAAACATTATATGTTTGTGTGGTTCTAGGCTGTAGTGGGTCACACCATAAGAGGTACACCAGTTTAGGGTTTCATATTTGTACTGTTGTTCCTGCTAGTCACACCCATTTCCTGTTTCTCATTCTGACACTTTCCTGGCTATGGCTCCTGATTCTACCTATTATCTTCACACGTCGCTCTCACTTCTCCCTCCTATGCCGTCGCTCTCACTTCTCCCTCCTATGTCGTCGCTCTCACTTCTCCCTCCTATGCCGTCGCTCTCACTTCTCCCTCCTATGCCATCGCTCTCACTTCTCCCTCCTATGCCGTCGCTCTCACTTCTCCCTCCTATGCCGTCGCTCTCACTTCTCCCTCCTATGCCATCACAGTCACTTCTCCTCCTATGCCCTCCCACATCCCCGTCGCACTTCTGCACTGGGCAGATTTGTGCTGCACCGCGCTGGGGAGCTCTAGGGGCAACGTTCGCGGGCGGCGACGGGCAGATTTGTGCTGCAGAGTGTGCAGAGTTCTTGCATACTTGTGCTTGCTTGAGCGCCATTGGGAAGTGCATAAGGAACACGGCGACAGCGCCACACTTCTGCACCGGGGAGCTCTAGCCTCTAGGGGTGCTGTTCCGACAGCAACGGGCAGATTTGTGCTGGAGATGTGCAGCTGGTGCTGCTGGAGTGTGCTGCCATTGATTGGTCTGGTCCGCCTGGCAGCCCCACACGCTAGTGCCGCGCCGCGCCACGCATGCATAGATGTCCGTACAGGAAGCACGACCTGTTGTGTTCCCCCAACCACGGTCGCCTATCCTCCTTGTCACCCACCAGCACAGGCCCCAAGATTCGTTTTGGAGCACACTGATCGATCAGCGTGCACCGCTCTCAACTCTGGCGGTCAGCGTTGCCTCAAGCTCTTAGGCTGAAAATTCATACAACACAAAATTTCGACGCTGCAATCTCATCGTTACATCCAAAATATAAGCTGATCACAATGTTTTCCAAAAGCACCGATATAGAACATTTCTCACATGTCTGCATCAGAGTCTGTACCAACGCAACGCGACTCTGCAGTGCCGCGCTCGGGAAACTTTGGTTTCCCGCCCGTGATTGACGGTGTTTGTGTTACCGTATCACCCCGGATATGATAAGCGCATGCGCTTATATCTGGAGCACTGCGCTTATGCCCGTTCCTCAATTATAAGCGCACCCCCTGTAAAACCCTTACTTATTATAAGCGCATGTCTAATTTCAATTTTAAATTTTGATTAGAACGGTAACGAAATCCAATTTTGCAGAGAGGACACAACCATTTTCGATTCGATTGACTTTGAGGACCTCACATCTTGCGCGTCCAGTCAGTATGAGCTGGCATTCCAGCAGTCTGACGTGTAACTTTTGCCTCCATGCACCGGCAGAGTATCGACCCCGCACGATTCTGATTTTTTACACTCGAAATTTTTATTCGGTTGAAGTTGCAAGGAGGAGATGTACAGTTTAGTTCTTTTAAAATATATATGTCTATTTGTCATTTTATAAGCGCATGCACTTATAAAATTTACTCAATTATAAGCGCACCCCCCTAAAAACAACACGTTTTATTATAAGCGCAGGTGCGCTTATATCCGGGGTATTACGGTAGTGCTGCACGTCGCAAGGTTGGCCTGCACCCCCAATACAGGCTGAGGGAGGGTTCAGCCTACACTCATACATGAACAAAACACTAAAAATCAGACAAGGTACGGTACGTAAAAAAACAAAACTACGACTTCTGTCAACGGGAGTTGGGTATTGGCCGCGTCCTCGCTTGGGCGGAGCCAACTTCTTGGTCGGGTGTGAGGGGAGCAGCCGACCTGCAGTAGTGGGTGAGCTGGTCGACGAGGAGGTCGACCTGCACGGGGGACCACTGCACGGGCGCCGACTTCAGGGTGGCGCCGACTTCGGGGAGGTCGACTTGGGAGTCGACCTGTGGAGGACGTCAACTTGGGGAAGCCGACTTCGGTGGTCGGCTGATGGACCGCTGGTCGACCTGCGGGTGGTCGACTGGACCTGGTGGTCGACGAAGGAGGGACCGACGTCGACCCTGACGCAGGACGCCGAGCAGTTGGGCGTCGAGTAGCGGGGCGTCAACTTCGTGACGCCAGCTTCGGGTGGCCGACGTGGGTGGTCGGCCGACAACTGTGCTGGTCGACGAGGAGCAGGTCGACCAGGAGTGCTGGTCGACGTGGAGCTGGTCGACCAGAGGGGACGTCGACCTGGAGGAGGTCGACCGATGGTGTCGTCGACCTGGTGAGGTCGACGTGGCTGGTGGGCACAGTCGCTGGCATGGGATCTGCCAGGCGTCTACATTGTGCACGTGACAGGAAAGTGCACACCAACCAGCTGCGTGCATCTGTGAAGCAGGTGCACTGTTGTCCTGCGTATGCAACGCTGTGCAGCCGACTTGGTGCAGCGTTGGCACACCGTGGACTTGCAACGTTGGCGAACCGCTACTCTGCTACGCTGGAGCGATGCGAGCGCTGCTGCGCTGGAGTGCGGTCGACCGTGCAGTGCTGGAGGTCGACCAGCAGCCTAGCTAGCACTGATGCAGTCAATGTTGCCAATGTTGTTGCGATCATTGTTCTGATCCTTTCCTAGTGAAACTCTTGCCAATTTTCCCCGTGAACCAGCAAGTAGTGTGTGCACAAGGAAACGACTAAGGACTAACGAACGCAGAGATCACATGAGCACACATGCCTAGCCCGTAGCCTAGCTCCCGTTGCTGCAGTTATCTCCGCATGGAGCGGTGAGCGTGGACGACACCGCGACGTAGTTCAGTCTAGCCGACTTAGCACATCCCGATCGTGTTCGTAGACCGGCAGCCGTGTAGTCACTAGCGTGCGCGTAGGCGACGCCGAGGTGATGGACACCCTGGAGGGACGGCTGGAGGATGCGAGGAGACGCCACGAGGCCCAGGAGTATGGGGCGATACCCTGGGCAGTCGTCGAAGCAGGACTCCGCTCCGTGTGGGCGGCGGAGCACCCCTTTTCTCGACCTACCTCTCCTCGACCGGTGAACAACGACGGCGGTGTCAACGTGGGCGTCAACATCGGTGGAGGTCAAGTCGGCAGCAGTGCGGGAGGCACGTCGAGGCACCGAGGGGTGATACACGCCGGTGAAGCTGGCGGCGTTCCGGAGCGAGGGATGCAGTCGTTGGCGGCTGCAAGCACCTCGCATGGCGACGCTGGTGGGCGTCGAAGTGGATTGTCGCCGATGTCAGCGTCCTATGTGACGGCAGGTGGGATTGCACCGAGCTACGGCTTCTTTAAGTTTACGCCGGACAGGATCTCGGTCACCCCTCCGCTGGTCGGTCGACCCGACATTCTCACCTGGAAGGAAGCCATCGAGCCCCAGCTGGAGATGGCCGGGCTGATCGACTTCGCCCGAGGGACCGTGGCGACGCCGGGGGAACACCACCCCGACTTGCGGGCGGAGTTTCACGCCGTGCAGCTGTTGACCTTCACGGTCATCTCGCGGTGCTGCTCGCCGGGCGTGCAGATTGCCTTGAAGTGGTGCCGGGAGTACATCGACGCCGGCCACCGGGCGTGGCACTTCATTGAGTAGACGTACCAGGTCACCGACGACCTGTTCATCGCCCAGCTGGAGGGACAACTGACGCACCTGCGTATGGGTGACGAGGAGACAGCGACCGACTACTGCAACAGGGCACGGCAAATTCTCGCCACCATTAGGATGGCCGGTGCGCAATACTCCACGGCGTCGTACATCACCCATGTCATGCAGGGACTCTCTAGCAGCTACAACCTGCTGAAGCGGCTGTCTATGGCGCCGAGCACAAGGGCGACGCTCAACGAGGACAACCTGACCTCGTATATCCTGCAGGATGAGGCGATGCAGGAGGCTGAGCGGTCGCAGGAGCTCTTGGCGCAGGCAAACTTGGTCACCTCAGCGAAGCAAGGAGGCCGACCGGGGCAGCGCGGGCAGTCTGGCAGTGGTGGTAGCAGTGGCTGGAAGCCGGCAAAGGAGGTCGACAAGAAGAAGTCGACCAAGGACAGCGGTCGTGGAGGAGGAGGTCGACGTCGGGAATGCTGGCTGTGCGGCGATCCCGACCATCTCTCCTTCGAGTGTCCCAACCGCAGCGACTCCGACGACGACGATGCTAAGGGAGGGCGTGGGAGGTCTGGCAGCCGTCGTCCTCGTTGTGGAGGAAACCAGCCGCGCAAGGAGAAGTAGTCGACCAAGACATCGACTTCGGCGAAGGACGCCGACTCCTCTGCAGGCGGCAAGGGGCGAGACGACAAGACGGCGTCGTGCTTGCTGGTCGGCGTCGTGGAGCCGACCATCTCTCTGGCGCCGGAGGCTGGAGAGGACTTCCTGGCGGTGGCGGCAGCTGTGCAGGCGAACCCGGCGGTGGTCCTGCTCGACAGCGGTTGCTCCCACCACCTGATGGGGACGAAGGAAGCCTTCGTCGACCTGCAGCCGAGCGGAGCCATCAGGCATGTGCGCGGCTTCAATGGGGCGCTGCAGGATGTCCAGGGCTGCGGCACCGTTGCTCTGCAAGGGGAGGTCGGGAGGCAGGTGCTCATCCCCGACGTGTTGTACGTCCCGGGTGTGCGAGCCAACCTGCTGTCGGCCGGCCAGCTGAAGGAGCACGGCGTGAAGTTGCAGGAGGTAGGAGACGGCATGCTGTTCGTCTCGGCAGCAAGGGAGGTGCTCGGGCGGGCGACGTACTCCGGGCAAGTCCTCTGCACCGACCTACGTCCTTGCGCGATGAGGTCGACGCCGCCCACGACGGAGGTTGTGGCACTGCAGGCGATCGTCTCGAAGACAAAGTCGACGCCTGACCGAATGCATGCGCGGCTTGCGCACGTCGGCATGGACACCATACGGAGCTCGGCGAAGAACGAGGTCGCCATTGGGCTGGACCTCAAGTCGGCGGCGGACGCCGACTCCCCGTGTGTCTCGTGCGTCAGCGGGAAACTGGTGCGGCACACCTTCCCCGACCAAGGCTCTGACGCCGACGACGTGCTGGCCGTCGTGCAAATCGGCCTGTGCAGGCCGTTCCGCGTGACTGCCAAGGATGGCAGCCTATACTTCTTGCTGCTGAAGGACCGCAAAACCCGCTACGTGTGGGTGAAGCCGGTCGCCAAGAAGTCAGATGCGTTGCAGGCGTTCGTCCAGTGGCTGGCGGTGGCTGAGCGGCAGACGAAGAAGTCGGTGTTGATGCTACGCTCTGACCGAGGAGGGGAGTTCCTCGGGAAGCAGTTCACTGACTTCGTGAACGGCAAGGGGATCGTCCACGACCTGTCCTGCCCATACACCCCGCAGCTGAACGGTATGGCGGAGCGGGAGATGAGGACGGTGGTGGAGTCGGTCCGGACTATGCTGCTGCACATGGGTGTGCAGCACCACTGGTGGCACCTTGCTCTGCAGCAGGCCGTCTGGGTCCGCAACTGCCTTGAGAGGTCGACGCTGCCGCCGAGGACGACGCCGTACCAGCTACTGACCGGGAAGAAGCCCGACTTGTCGCTGGCGCGGGTGTGGGGCTGCATGGTGTAGTTCCTTGTTCCTGAGCAGCAGCGTGGTGGGAAGCTGAAGCCGAAGGCCAAGTGGGGCCTGCACCTTGGCGTGTCGGCGGCAAGCAAGGGCTGGGAGCTCCTTGACGTCGCCACAGACCGAGTGGTCACCACGTCGGACGTGGTGTTCTACGAGGAGATGTCGCTGGCCGAGTGG